CTTTAAATTTCAAACTTATTGGTTTTATGAATGGTTTTTCATTGCAAATCCTTTCAATTGTAGAATCATGTCTGCAACTAATACCAACAACAACCAATTTTCACTCTGTTCTATTCTCGATAAAGAGAAGTTGAATGGGACAAACTTCCTTGATTGGCAAAGGAACTTGCGTATAGTTCTCATGTAATGCATCTTGTTGGCCACAATGTCTCCAGATCTCCAAAAGACCTTCTTTGGAAAGGAGACGGATTTTGAGATCATTTCAGAACTTCAGAATATGTTTCAAGAGCAGGCCCGAACTGAGAAGTTTGAGACCCATAGGCAGATCCTTGAAATCAAGCTCAAGAAAAGAGAGCTGGTCATCCCACATGTACTTAAAATGATCGAATTATTTGAGATGATGGAAAGGCTCGACGCTTGGTACTCAACCGAGATGGCAATTGACATTATTCTCAACTCGCTGCACAAAGGCTATAATCAGTTCAAGATGAACTATAATATGCACAGCATGGAGAAAACCCTCATCGAGCTTTATGGAATGTTGATGCAAGCCGAGTAAACACTCAAGGATGAGGGGAAGCATGATATGCTTATGGTCATGAAGGGCAAGCCGTTCAAGCGCTCGGGCAAGAAGAAAAAGAAGGTAGCCTCTTCTCAATCCGATTTCGAATGTTTCTACTGCAAGAAGAAGGGATATTGGAAATGGGATTGCCTCAAATTCAAGGAGGATAAGAAGAATGGCATCATTGCTTTTGGATCAGGTATATATGTTATAGACCTTAACTTTACTAGCAAAGATTCATGGGTATTAGATATTGGATGTGGCTCACACCTTTGTTCCAATGCTCAGGGACTAAGGAAAAGTAGAAGGCTAGTGGAGGGAGAAGTGGAACTCCGGGTCGGCAATAGAGCAAGGATTGCGGCCGTATCCGTTGGGACACTAAGTTTGTCTTTGCCCTCTGGGCTTGTTTTAGAACTTAAACATTGTTATCATGTTCCAAATATTACCAAAAACATTATTTCAATTTTGGCGTTGGATGCCAAGGGATTTGAATTTCGGATAAAAACAATAGTTATTCATTTTATCTTGATAATGTTTTATATGGTACGGCACATTCAGAGAATGGTCTTTATGTGCTTCCACTAGACAAACAGGTTTATAATGTTAATGATACCACCAAAAGAGCTAAGACCATTGAGTCGAATCAAACCTACTTGTGGCATTGTTGTCTTGGCCTTATTAACATCAAACGCATCAAAAAACTTCTTCATGAAGGGATTCTTGATTCATTCGACTTAGAGTCGTTTGAAAATTGTGAAGGATGCTTACTAGGCAAGATGATAAAGCAACCATTCTCCAAATTGGGAGAAAGGGCTAGTGACTTATTGGGTCTTATACACACGGATGTATGTGGACCAATGAGCAGACCGCAAGAAATGGTTATCGCCATTTTATCACTTTCACGGACAACTTTAGTAGGTATGGCTATGTCTACCTCATGTCGCAAAAATCTGAATCTTTTGAGAAATTCAAAGAATTTCAGAGTGAAGTGGAAAATCAGCTTGGCAAGAAAATCAAAGCACTTTGATCGGATCGAGGTGGCGAGTATTTGAACTACGAATTCGACGATCATCTGATAGAACATGTAATTCTCTCAGAGTAACTCCACAATGGAATGGAGTGTCCGAGAGGAGAAATCGAACTCTATTAGACATAGTTCGATCAATGATGGGTCTTAGCGATCTTCATTTCTCTCTCTGGGGACACGCACTTCTAACCGCGACACTTACACTGAACCGTGCTCCGTCAAAAGATGTGATATGAATTATGGACGAAGAAACCTCCACGGTTGTCTTTTCTTAAGATTTAGGGTTGCGAAACATGTGTCAAAAGACTCGTATCTGACAAGCTTGCACCAAAATCTAACAAGTGTTTCTTTGTGGGCTATCCAAAAGAAACAAAGGGGTATTACTTCTACAACCAGTCTGAGAACAAAAATATTTGTTGCTCGAGATGGTGTCTTTTTGGAAAAGGAGTATCTTTCCCAAATGACAAGTGAGAGGAAATCGAACTTGATGAAGTTCAAGAAGGTGAGCAACAAAGTCAAACTGACAAAACTGACAATCAAAGTGCTTTGGAAGCAACTGTTGAAAATGGTCAAGGTCAAAATGACAAAGCAAATGCTCAACCTATTACCCTACGTAGGTAGCAAAGGCCAAGATCTCAAACAGATAGATACCTCGGTGTTGTCTCAACCGAGAATCAAGACATCCTAGTTATGGATGAAGATGAGCCAGCAAAATATAAACAAGCTATGACGAGCCCTGACTCTGAAAAATGGCAAGAAGCCATGAAATTCGAGATGGACTCCATAGTTGAAAATCAAGTCCGGGACTTGGTTGATTTGCCCGAAGGTAACTCACCTATCGGTTGCAAATGAATTTTCAAGTTAAAAACGGATAAAGATGGAAATGTATATGTATACAAAGCTAGATTGGTGGCAAAAGGTTACAGGAAAATTCACGGCGTTCATTATGATGAAACCTTTTCGCCAGTCGCCATGCTTAAGTCCGTCCGGATTATCCTAGCAATTGCCGCATATTATGATTATGAGATATGGCAAATGGACGTTAAAACCGCCTTCCTTAATGGGATTTTGTAAGAAACTATGTACATGACACAACCGAAAGGTTTTATAGATATAAATAATGTTGGGAAGGTATGCAAGCTTAAGAAGTCCATTTATGGACTAAAGTAGGCAAGCAGAAGTTGGAATTTGCGATTCGATGACGCCATTAGTGAGTTTGGTTTTATCAAGAATCCAGATGAGTCTTGTGTTTACAAGAAGTTCAGTGGGAGTGACATCGCATTCCTTGTCTTATATGTCGATGACATATTACTCATTGGAAACAGCATTCCAATGTTGGATTTTGTACAGGCTTGGCTTGGAAAGTGTTTCTCAATGAAGGACTTGGGAGAGGCACAGTACATATTGGGCATTAGGATCTATTGGGAAGATCTAAAAGGATGATTGGATTGAGCCAAAGTACTTATATCAATAAGGTACTGGAACGATTCAATATGGAGGAAGACAAAAGAGGCCACCTACCCATGTCACATGGCATAACACTCAGCAAGAAACAGTGTCCTAATACACCTGATGAGCGAGAGAGGATGAGTTAGATTCCATATGCTTCGCTTATTAGATTGATCATGTATGCCATGATATGTACTAGGCCGGATGTATCGTATGCCTTGAGTGCTATGAGCTGATACCAATCAGACCAAGGAGAAGCGCATTGGACTGCAACGAAGAATATCCTAAAGTACTTGAAAAGGAACAAGGATAAATTTATGGTCTATGGTGGGAGTAAGGATTTGGTTATTGAAGGTTATAACGACGCAAGCTTCCAGACTGAAAGAGATGACTTCAGGTCACACCCAATTGTGTAACCGAACCAAAGCGAAGAATTAATCCGAAGGATTAAATGAGTCAATAGAGTTTTACGAACAAAGACGTCGGATTACGAGCTTAGAGCGTCGAATCCGAGCGTTGTGCGTCGGGTCGATTATAGGAATCGACGAAGACGAGAAAAATAATCAAATAATATATCGTGCTAAAAATTACGAGGATAGCACGAGCCCTAGTCACACCTCGGATCGAAGGCAAGTGGCCAGGGGCCGAAAGCAACAAGGCACTAAGCCACCGCAGCCCTCCCAAGGCCCAGCTACGCTGGCCGTGGCGTGCGAGGCTGGCTGAGGCTGCTACGTGGGCCTGCGCGCCACATTACCCTAAGTCGGGCTGCCCAGCAAGCAAGCCGAGCTTGCGAGGCTGCTGCTGGGCCTACGCTACTGCTGCTCGCTTGTGGGTGCCGCTGTTGGGCATGCGTGTCCGCGTGGGCTTGCGGTGGCATCCGTGGGATTGCGACCATGGGCTAGCGTGCCTAGCCTTGTGGCGCAAGGCTGCCAGCAAGGCTGGCCTTGTTGCCTAAGGCCGGGCAGCTTCCCGGGCTGACCCAGTAGCGAGGTGGGGGGCAAGCCTTGCCTTGCTCTCCAAGGCCAAGGTGGTCCTCCCACCTACTCCCTCTTTGTGTGATGACACTTGTCATTTGATTATTATTTCATGGATGTTTAATTTAATTTGGAATTAAATTAAATTCTATTTTTGCCTTTTTACCAACTATCCCACATCGAAAAATGATGGGATTTCAAGGGAACTATTCCCTATAAATACCAATCATTTGGCATTTGGGAAAGGCACTTGACTTGGTGAACTTTGAGGGATCTCCAAGAAGAGAAAACCTTTGTTCTAATAACTCTAAGTTACGTTTGGTCTAGCCCCGACTAAGCTTCAGGGTAGGGGCTAGTGCAGTTTGGTAGCAAGGGTGTGAGCCGTCGGAGGTTCTCGCACTTGTGGAACTTGAAGCTTTCAAGTCCGAGCTTGAGGTTGAGCGAAGCACGCTACAAGGTTGAACATTCTCTCTTTTCTCTCTCTTCTCTTATGTTTATGTCTATTTTGCATGCTTTTAGTTATGTTGTAATTATTATGCATGCGATCTGGTTATTGGGTTTTGTTTCTGCGCGGTGTCGGACACCGCAAAACCCAACAATAACCTATGGTCAAGCTACTTTGAAGCTTAGGTAAGGGCGTAATTGTGTTAGCTATACTACCAAATGAGCTAGAATCACTAGAGTAGAAGCAATATCACAAGCACTAGGGATTAGGATCTATCCACATGCAATCATGATAGATTTACTAATTGGGGGGAAATCAAATCAACCAAACATTGCAAGGACTAATAGTAATCGCAATCGAAAGAATTCAAAAGGTTATCTCCTAGAAGTTAAGCTAGGTTTCCTTTGAATGACTAATAAGGAGAATTGGAATTTAAAATCAATTAATAAATGTAATCCCTAAATCAAGTGGTCATGTCATTAGAAACTATAATGCAATCTAGTATGGAAATCTAGGTTAGCTACTCCTATTAAGCCAAACACATGCACAATTGTGTCAAACAATTTAATAACAACATTTCAATCAATCAAAATCCCATAAGTAGCAATCATCCATCATTCATGCATGCTTCACCATCACCCTAGCAAAGAATCTACTCACTAAGCATAATGAATTGAAGGAAGAAAACTAACTTATAATCATCATCAACGTCATCATAATTGCAATACAATTTAATCAAATTCAAACAAACAAAGGAACTTGAAATTGCAACAATCAACAAAATCAAATGCATAGAAATTGAACTAAGAAGTAGAAGAATCTTACAAACTTGATTGAACAAAGGAAATTGTGCTTGAATTCAATGTAAATGAAGATAAAAATTGTAATCAACAAATTATCTCTCAAGTTTCTCTCTCTAAAATTCAGTACAAAATTATGAAAATTCAAGTCTCCCCTAGAAATAAAAGGAAAAAGCTATTTATAGTATAAATAACTAGAAGGAAATAAGGTAGACGTCCAAAATAGACCCAGCCGGGTGCACCATCTCTCGAGCTTGCACGCCCGCGAAGATCTGGGTACGGAACAGAGACCCCAGGTGGCGCGCCCGCAAAGGAAGGATGCGCACCCACGCTACTGGCTTGCGCGCTCTCGCATAAGTGGTGCGCGCCCGCGCCACTGGAGTAGGACACCTTCCATGGTGCGCTCTTGATGTAGATGGTGCGCTCCTCTTGATCGTCACTAGGCATGGCAATCCCGAAATGGAGTTCACGGTGGGTTCAACACCAAAATCTTGTGCGAGTGCAGCATGAGAGCGCAATCACCAATTCTTAAAGCTAGCCATTCCTTGCCTTGTGAGCTATGTATGAGCTTCCACTTTGCACTTTGAGTCTCTTCCAACCCGGAAAATCATCGTGATACGTCTCAGGCTATACCTCATACCTACAATTAAGAAAGAAGAACAAATAAAGGAGAAAACACGAGAAAATCTACAAAAATAAGAGAAAACACGAAATAAGCAAAGAAAAGACAAACTAAGGAACAAAAGAACAACACTAAGGGAAAAGAGGGAAAGAAAGCTATAAAAAGAAACCAAAAACATCCTAAAATACTACCAATTGAGTGCCATAAATGAAACTCATAACAAATGTATAATCTTAAACCAAAATTACACTGAAAAATACTCTGTAACATACTTTATGGGGTTTAATTACAAATAATCCACTCACCTCCCAATTACCTGAGTCTGTTGAGGAGTCAGCATACTTCTAGGATACCATGACGAACTGCATTAGAACTACACACAAAAAAACCAAATCAATAAGTTCAAAGACCAATTTACACACACACCGTTCAGCCACAACAACACAACATTCCAATTTAATAAGAACAACACAGAGCAATTTACCAACATATACAGCCGCAACATGATTTCCCAATTTAATGGACATTTAGTCTAACCCAAAACATGATTTCCCAAGTCTAATGGGTCATCAACCCAACTACTAGAATTTTACATTTAATCTAACCCAAAACGTGTATAGATTCACACAAAACTTTGTTTAATATACTCACTGACAAGGTGATTTCCTAAAAAAAAACAGTCACCAACTTGAGCCATTACAATGGAGCAAAACTAATACAACAAAATTTAATACAATTGTATCAAACCAATACCAACAAAGTAGAAGATGGTATCAGCGCAATCCCAACTACGCACCAACAATATCACCACCACAATGTAATATCAAATTTCCATTCCACACCTACATAGTATCTGGGTAATACATCAACAACAACATTCCTCATAATTCTACACATTATTTTTAGAAATTGGACACAAGCAATAAATTAACAGATAGTTCGACATCCTAATACCCCAAATCCAGGACCGATGTTTCAATTGACACAGAAATCACGTCGCTCGCTCCTCCACGTTGCCGCTTCCGCTGCTCATTCCAAGGTTGCATTCTTCAATTTTTTTTTTTTAATTTATATTTCTGTTTTTTAGGGTTTTCTTGGTAATCAAATTCAATTTTTCTAGGTTTAGTTTAGGTGATTGAAATCATAATTGAAGTTGATTGAATATGGAAGGTGATTATTAACAAGGTTAATGTTGAAGTAGGTTGGGCGCACGTTGTTCATTCTGCTTCTAAAAGGCTTGGTCAGGGAAGGGGGTGGCCGAGTTGTCGTCTACTAGTAGTGGCAGGTGTGTGGGTTTTGGTTTTTTCTAATTTTATTTAAATTTATGACCCCTAAGTCAGAAAACTGGCCACACTAATTAAGGCCCTGTTTGGTTGGGTGTAAAATGTTTTCAATGGAAAATGATTTTCGATGAATAACATTTTCCATGAGAAAATGTAATTTCCTACTAATTTACCATTGTTTAGTTGTATGTTAAATGAATTTCCTTTTTAGGCTTTTTTCATTGTTTGGTTTAACAGAAAATCAACTTTCTATTTTGGTTTTTTTTATTCTTTGTCTTTCCTATATTTGTAAGGAATGTCTTACTAGTTCTTTCTCATACCATAATAATAATAATAATAATAATAATAAGTCTTTCCTTTATTTTTAAGGAAGGACTTACCGGTTCTTTCTCATGCCATAATAATAATAATAATAATAATAATATATCTTTCATTTTTTTTTGAACGGGATCTTTCATTATTTTGTTGAGAATAAATAAAAATATTTCCTTATTAGTATAATCGGTTGGCCAATAATTATAATAATAATAATAATAATATATCTTTCATTTTTTTTAACGGGATCTTTCATTATTTTGTTGAGAACAAATGAAAATATTTCCTTATTAGTATAATCGGTTGGCCAATAATAATAATAATAATAATAATAATAATAATAATAATAATAATAATAATAATAATAATAATAATAATAATAATAGCACTAATAATAATGAAAAAAAATAATAACAACAACAACAATAATAATAATAATAATAATAATAATAATAACAATAATAATAATAACAATAATAATAATAATAATAACAATAATAATAATAATAATAATAATAATAATAATAAGCGAAAGGTGGTTTCGGGCTGGTGGTTATGGGTTAGAGGTGCCGATTTTTGGGTGGGGGAAGGGGAGGGGAGGTCGATTCAAGGTGGGGGAAGGGGAGGGGGGCCGATTCCGGTGGGGGGGATAGGGAGGGAGGGTTGTTTTTTCGGTTTCAGGGTGGGGGTTGGGGCAACGAGAAAGGGATTAGGGAGGGGGGTGGGTTGCGTTGGTGGGGAAAGGGATAAGGGTGGGGTCGTCGGCGCCGGCCAAAGCATTGGGCGCCGGTCGCCGGCAGGGGGGAGGGGGGAGGGTGGCTGACGGGGAGGGGGGCAGTTGAGGGTGGCTGGGTTTTTTTTTTCATAAACTTAATTTTTAACAACTGTGATTTAGGTGGTAGTAAAATAAAAAAAAAAAAATTAAGGGGTAGCAAAACTGAGATGCATGCCTTTTGGTGGTAGCAAAATTGAAATTGGCCTTAATGTTATAGTTTGCTTAATATAAATAATTCAAGTTTACTAAATATAAATAAAACTAAAAAAGGGCACTATACTTTATTTTTTCAAAACCAGAGTGTCACTTGATTAAACTGGAAAAAAGTTTGTCTTTCATATAGAATTTTTTATTCCTGGAGGCGACTACGTAGAATTTCCCAAAATATAATTACTTGCTCTTTAACACTCATTCGAACACTTTCCCGCAAAAGTCCTCTTTCGATTAGAATATTACGTAAGCTATAAAATGCAGCAGGCCTCATACGAAGTTGTCCTAGACAATGAGTGTCACCACAATATAAAATACTATTGATATTGGTCTCCCTCAAACTATCTCTATCACATAAGGTTTCCTAATTATTCTAGGCTTTTTATTCCTAAACCTATACTGTTTAAGAAGGGCAAGAATGGAAGCAATTATGGCTGCCACAAAACCAAGAATCATGCCTTTCATTTCATGGGTCATCTACAATAGCATATACAACAAATTATATAATCAGACATAACATATACAACACATTATATAGCATGTTCATTCAAATTCCAAGAATATATATATATGTAATCTACAACAATGCCTTAAATTATCTATCACAATAGCACTACCCAAAAATTTTAAGACAGTCACCTTAAATTAGCTAGAAAATTTTCAATTAATGAACATACATAATCAATAGCACAAAAATTCAACCTTATAAATAAAAATTAATAGCTTTGGTATACGACACAATTAAAAGTCTAACTATGAAGGCTTTTGTCCAGCCAAATCCTTAAGAGATAGTGTCTTTCATTTCCTTCGAATTACCATTTACAAATCACTCTTTTCACAAGACTAGACTACAGAAGATTTCAATGACAATATTATCCTATGAAGCTAGATAACCACTGTAATGCGCCCCGAAGCATCGGTCTTACACTGTCCACTTCTTTCTCCCAACATCACCTTTATCGGTTAATCCTCACAGGTAAAGTTAAAATATGCATCTTTATTTCCCATTCAACAACAAAGAAAAAGCTTCCTTACAAAGTACAGACAAAGTCAAAAGGAACATCTATCAAGATTAGTAAACCAAGGCCGAATAAGGGATGTATAGTATAAATAGTGCTTACAACTTTACACTCAGTTCATTTAAATTTCCAACTAACATATGCAAGCATTATGTATCATAGAAACAGGAAATAGCCTCTTAACTCTCAAAATGATGTACAAATTTAAAGAGCAAAGTCCAAGTAACCCTAGGTCATTCCTACATCAAAACCAAGTAATTACATATCCACCTGTTTTGTTCCCACAATTAACTTATATAGAAGTTATAATTTGTACCATTTATAATCTGCTTTACAAGTATATCAATTCTAAGAATTAGTTTCAATTACAAATTCAACAAGAGATCGATGACATTCATAACCGCAGTTCATCACCTGTAATACTCAAACAAAATTATGTTGGAACCCCATTTGATTTCAAGCAAAAGATATTAGACCACTAGTATACAAACTTCTATATTCATTCATGAAAATGATACTCAAACAACACTAAAAAGCTCAACAATCATAACCCATTATACGAATTTGCCAATTCGTCTCCAATGAACACCAAATTGAACAAATATACTATCAACCATAGCAAATCAGATTAAGCTAGATCAAACCACAACAAATCTTCTAAGACCATAAAATTATCAGTATAATGAAGCAAGTAAGATTAGACCACTACACATATATTTTACCTAAAGTGATTTTTGAGATGATACTCCTTGATCTGACATCATACTAGCTTACAATCTTCTATAAATTTAAACAAAACTAAACTAATATTAGGTGAGGTAATTTATCAAACACTTTGTGGGCATGATAAAAACATGTAAAATATATAAATGAAAATAAAATTTACAACAAGTAGAATGCATCTAATAACAAATTCCCAAATTATAATCATCTTTAGAAAATTTAATCACATCATGGTGATTTGGGTAAAAATACCCGGGCCACGTGGCCTAATCAAAAGGGGACACGTGTCACCCTAGAAGAGGTCCAAACATGACCAATAACCAGCTGACACGTGGCATTCCCAATCAGCAGGGAAAATACGACTTTCAAGGCCCAATTCCCGAGAAAGCCGCAAAGCGGCGCAGCCCACCAAATCTAGGTCAGAATGACCTAAGGGCACATTTACCAATGATCCTATAAATAGGGAGATTTACCCCATTTTTGGGGACACGTTCATTTATTACAACACAATCAACTCTCTCACATCAGAAAAAACACCTGATCTCGGAATCCGAGAATATTTACTTTTACTTTCCGCACTTTTTACCTTACTTCGACCAGTTCTAACTTGATCGTCGGAGGCGGAACTCCAAACCCCTGGAGCTTCCGTTTGTGTGCAGGTGCAACCAACGAGGATTCAGTCTTGGTGACGTAACTCTCCCGCAGAACACATAAAAAACCCCAAAACATTTGGTGCCGTCTGTAGGGAGAGTACCTCTAAGATGGTTTCTCAAGAGACTGTACCACCTCCTGAAGAAAAGCAGCCTACGGCTGAGGTTTATTCAGACCATGACACAGATGAAGATACAGAACTCGAGGTCTATACGGCCGAAGATAGATCCCTTAAAACCAGGCGCATCCGTTCCAGGGATAACAGGGAACGGGGCGATGGTCAGGCAGGTCCGAGTAAGTCATATGGCCAGCCCCAGGCGGCAGGATAGACTGCTCACATCACCCAAAACGAGTTCATGAAATTCATGACAAGTTTCAAGGGAGAGATGAAGGACCTAATCTCTAAGAAGACGACTGGTCCCAGCAAAGGTCAGTCGGCCAAGAAGGCCTCTCACTCTGAGAAGGCTAAGTCGGTCAAAGACATGCAGCCCACTCTGCATCCTAAAACAAAGGAGAGGAGCCGACCTTGTTGAAGTCCTACATCCTCAAGTCCAACGTGACCTTGAAGACGGACCCTAGATAGCCGTCAAAAAAGCTAGCAAAGCCTGCTAGCAGTTCTGACACAGATCAAGACATGATCTGCACCATAGCAGGCGGCTTTGCCACTTGGGCCCCAACTATCAGAGGCACCAAGGATCATGTCAGGTAATTGGATTTCAGCTCGGTCGATGAGGGTCAGGCGTCTACCGACACTTTTCCTGAGGTCATCATCTCTAAGAGGGGCCGGGGAAAAGTCTGGCGGCCGCATGATGACCCCATTGTCATTGAATGTAAGGTTGCCAACCAAAGGGTTGGTCGTATTCTCATTAATACCGGTAGCTTGTCTGAAATCATCAATCGGAAATATCTGTCCAAGCTGAAATATAAGCTAGGCAGCATGCACAAAGTCACTCACCCCCTGGTTGGTTTTGGGGGTGGAGTTGTGCATCTAGTCGGCCGAATAGATCTATCCATCCGGATGGGAGAGAAGAGAGAGGGGCGTCACATGGTCGTCCGGTTCTTGGTCGTAGACGAGCTGACTGACTATAATCTCATTTTTGGTCGTCCGACTCTGAACGAATCTAAGGCCGTCATTATCCCATCCCTCATGCTGCTTAAATTTGAAAGAGATGATGGTTCTGTTGGCTCCTTGAATGGAGACTAGAAGACGGCTCGAGAGTGTTATCTCTTAGACGTCAAGCCCACGGTTGTTGATAGGGACGTGGAGCCAATAGACCTTGACGATGTCAAGGAAGAAGAGCTTGCCCTACCAGAAGCCGGCAAGAAGAGAAAGACCGACAAGCTGGTGACTGTCAAGAAAGAGAAGCAATAGCAATCATTGATCGGGGAACGGTTAGATGAACTCTGTCCCCAGCCGGCTGGTGAACACATTGATATCATTCTAGACAACACACGTCCGGAGCGTACTGTAAAGGTTGAGACAGTTGCTTTTGAAAGGTAGGGGGCAGACTTGCGCAATTTGTAGAAGGAATTCAAGGACATTTTTACCTTTGAATTGGAAGAGATGCCAGGCATCAGCCCGGATCTCACTGTCCATAAGCTCGCCGTGGATCCA